GAAAAGGTCTCACATAATCCAGGCTAATATAAACTTGCTATATAGCAGAGATAGCCTTATCTCTGATTCCCTTGACTCTGCCTTCCCAAATGCTGGGATCACAGATACATGCCATCATCCCCATTTATAGTAATCAAGAAATTTTATCTTGGGTATTATGAATGTTAGGTTATGTAGCATGGTACTAGTATATTTGAGGGAATATGGATGTTTTTGTTTTAGAAGCCAATCAACTGAATTACACTTGGGCTGTGTTTTTGGTGTTTTGTTTTTTTAAAAAATGATTTTTATTTTATGTGTATGAGTGTATTGCTTTCATGTGTATAAGTGCACCCATGTTGTGAAATGCCTGTTGAAGTCAGAAGAGGGCATCAAATCCCCTTGAACTGGAGTTATGGACTGTTATCTGCCATGTGGGTGCTGGGATGGAACCTGGGTCCTCTGCAAGAGCAGCCAGTGCTCTTAACTGCTGAGTCATCTCTCCAGCCTGTGTTTTGCTTTTTGTAGATAAGAGTTTTAACTCCATTTCCTTTGCTGGTTTGCAGCTATCCCATGTAAGTGTAAGTCAAGAGTTATGCCAAGACTTGTATGGGATTGCCTTCAAACTCTTTAGTCCCAGAGGCCTTTCCACCCTAATTCCTCTGTGCAGAAAACATGGGTTCTCTTATAATTGTAGTTTCCAGAGCTATGATGGTATACCACGACTGCTCTTGGGGAAAGGAGGAAACTCACCGGGGGAGGGAGGTCTTTTCTCAAAATCTGTCAGCCCTTATTTATTTTGCAGAATCTTTAGTTGTTCTTTTATATCTGTCTGAGTTTTTGTTATCAGTAAGGGAAAGTGGGGTGGGCTGAAATGGCCACAGTGGACCCAGACTATCATCTTGATTTTTGAAAAATATTTTTGCTGAATATAGTAAAATAGGTTGGCAGTCATTTTCTTTCAGCATTTTATTTAAAAAAATATATATTTATTTTATGTGTATGAGCATATTGCCTGCATGTATGTGAGCGGACCTGTGTTGTGCAGTTCCGCAGAGGTCAGAAGAGGGAGTTGGATTCCCCTGGAACTGGAGTCAAGGACAGTTCGTAGCCGCCGTGTGGGTGCTGGGAATCGAACCCGGGTCCTCTGCAAGAGCAGTGTTCTTAACCACTGAGCCATCTCTCCAGCCCCCTTTCAGCATTTTAAAGATAGCTTTCCAGTGTCTTTCAACATTACAGTTTCTTTTCAGAAGATACAATCATTTTCTTATTGTTATGCCTTTGCAGGTAATGTGTCTCTTTTCTTTAGCTCCTTAATTTAGTATAATACTAAAGGACTGAGTATAATTTTCTTTGAGTTGATTCTGTTTGACTTTGAGTTGCTATCTTTAGTTACTTTTACAAAATTAATTGCATTAGCTTAAGTATTTGTTAGTCTAGTCTTTCTTTTAAAGTCAATTATATGAATGCTAGGTATATCTGCTGTGCTGGACAGCTTTAGTTGTCAACTTAACACCCTGGTAGAGGGAGCCTCATTTGGGGAATTGCCTCTATTGGACTGGCCTGTGGCCATGTCTGTGAGGCATTTTCTTCATTATTGAGTGATGTGGGAGGGCCCAGTCTACTGTGGATGGTGCTACACCTGGGCAAGTTGTTCTGTACTGTATAAGAAAGCAGGCTGAGCGCTGGTCAGGGGAGCAAGCCAGTAAGCAGCGTTCCTTCATGGCCTGTGCTTCAGCTTCTGCCTCCAGGTCCTGTCCTGAGTTCCTACCTTGGGCTCCCTCAGTGATGAACTGTGCACTGGGAGATATAAGCCAAATAAACCTTTTCCTCCCCAAGTTGGTATTGGTCAGAGTGTTTTGTCACAGCAATCAAAGGCAAATTAGAACTCTGCTGACCTCGATCCTTCTATTTTGTATGTGTGTGCACATAAAATGTGTGTGTGTGCATATAATTAGCCAGAGGACAATCTTGAGTAATGCTCCCAGGCACCATCTACCTCTTTTTTTTGTGTGTGTGACAGTCTCTCACTTGCTTGGAACTCACAGAGTAGGCTAGGCTGGCTAGTGAGCCCTAGAAATCTCCCTGACTCCCTTTCCTGGCACTGGGATTACAAGTGTGTCACCATGCCTGGCTTTTTAAAATGTGGGTTCTAGGACTCAAACTCAAGCACTTTACTGACTGAGCCATCTCCCCAGATCCTCTTTCTGTAATTTTAATTTTTATCTATCTCCAATTCAGTGCAGATATTTTCGAGTGCCAGCTCTAATCTTTGCTTTGCTATTAAATTGATTGCATTCTTAATATATTTTTCAGTTTTATGGTTTATATCTGATTCTTTTTTCAAGATTTAAATTATCTGGTAAAACTGTCCATGTATACAGTTTTTATATCGTCTCCCCTAGTTCCTTGACTATATGATAATCACAAAACAAACACAAGTATTTGATCACTTGAGATTCTCCTTCCATTGCCTATTTTTGACAAGGACTCCAGATACTTCATCCCTTCAGGAAGGGAACATTTTTCTTCTGTTAAAGACTCCTCATTTTAATTTAATCACAGATTGAGCCAAGTCAAGTCTAGGTTGTAGTCAGACTCAGTCTACCTCTGGTTTGCCAATGCTGCTAAGGCATAGATTTTATATGTGGGAGTAGTACTGGGGGTTGAACTTATGGCTTTATCCATGTTAGGCAGAAATTCTACAACTGAGATAAATATCCAACCCTAGGCATAGGTCTATCAGGGCTGAGGACCCTGTTCACCAATGCTTCTTGGACGCTCAGATACTAGCTACTATCCCATCACATTGAAGTTGTGAGCTCTCTTGTGAGGCTTTCTGATTACCTGTCTCATGAAGTATCAGCATTTGGATGTGCATCCCTACCCTCTTTAGTATTGCTCTCTCTGATCTTGCCTATGGGAATTAATTCTCCATTGTTTACAGAACTAGCAATGATGTTCCCTGAAGGAGATGTTAGGCAAAGCAATGCTGATGTTCTTTTATGCCCACCAGTTAGTCAATTCTAAGCAGCCCCTTAAAGGTGAGAGGGAAAATGTGGTCCATGAGGTGGGCTACATCACTAAAGAACTTAAGTCTGCTAACTTGTTCAAGCAGAAGTCTGGGGGAATATGTGTGGGAATAGATTTTAAGAGTGTGAGATAATGGTGAAAAGAACATAAAACTGGATCATGCTGAGTTTATCAATATGAGCCTACCAAGTAGAAAGTCTAGGTTTAACATGTGTAGGAATGACTTTTATAGTATGGATATAGTCTGGACTAAAATGTTTTACCTAATCTTGTAACCAAAAAGTTACTGTTTATAATGTAAAAGCTTACTAAGCCATGTGCTCCTTTTGTAACCCGAGCATATGACAATCCCTTAGGACCTCTTCTTGTCCTCCACCCAAGATAGTATATGAATGTCTGTATGCATGCTTTACATATCAAAGGGCTGCAAGCAACATGATTTTCTCACTGCAAATAAATAGAAAGAATGAGAAAAGTCTGTTTCTTCTAGTTGCATGTCATATTCTAGGTCTAGGGACCAAAGGCCAAGATTATTTGATAAGGGTAGATCCTGACTTTTATTTCCTCATTTCATGCTGGATATACTATCGCCATAGGAAAAGAATAAGAGAAGCCCTTGTACAGGAGCATAGTTCTCAGAGACATATGAAGGAACAGGTGCTCAGCAGTTTAGGTCCACTCTTGGTCTTAAAATTAATGCTAAGAGTCAGGCTGTTTCTGTATTAAGGTATAACTTACTGTGGCTTTAAAACACCACAAATATGGAGGAAGCTAAAGTTAAAAAAGGTGCCAAAAGTTTATTCAGTCAATTAGCTTTAGTATTTGTAAAAAGATGGCCTACTGAGGAGGAGCAGGAGATGTCTGATATTCCTTGGCTTAGTGAGGGGATTTAATGAAGTAAAGTAGCTTGGTGAAGGGATGTTAAGGTTCTGGGAAACTGGAATACTGGAGAGGATTCATTGCTGAAAATCTAATCCTCCACAGTGGGAGAGCCCAGAGGACATGCCCTTCACTAATACTGTAAGATACAAAATGGTGAGAGGGGCACCAGTACATTTGAAGAGCTTTGTCATTACTCTTCTTGTGCCAGACCTTATGTGGCTGGTCACCTAGATGAATTAAACGTAATGGGTCTAAATGGACCCTGGAGTAGCCGGGGCCAAGTGGCAGCATTGATCAACAAAGGCAAGATAAGCATATTTACTATAATGGACAAAACCGTCTAGATAGTTGAAGTCCTCCAAGTTTTCAATTTTGTTTCCATACTTCCTCCCTCTTCATGTGCCCTCATTCCTTTCAAAAGGCAAAGCTTGAAACTGCAACCTTATGCTCTGTACTCATAATTAGTAAAAAATGCCTTCTAGGAAAAATGGCTATAGAACTTTAGCTCATCTCTGTAATTCTCTTTAGAATCTTATCTCTCTGCCTACTGATTGTATAGTTCTCTGGTGACAATTAACAGACTCTCTATACTTCATTAACATTTTTGGTGTTAGGAGCAATGCAAATCTGTCACAAGCTACTACATCCTAACCAGGAAGAGATAACATATGTGTGGCTAGTAATTTTTGATGACATAATAGAGAATGAAAAAAAAATGTGCATTCTGAAGGAAACATTGAAACTCAGAATTTTCATATAACAAATACTCCAGGACCTGCAAAAAAGCCTATTGTCTTGGGGATGAGGAGATGGCTCAGCAGTTTAGGTGTTTACCTTTCTTGCAGAGGGCCCAGGTTGGGTTCCCAGCACCCATGTGGCAGCTCACAACTGCTTTTAACTCCAGTTCCTGGGGATCTGCATGCACATGGTACACGTGAACTCACACAGACACACACACACATATACATAAAATTTACAAATTGTCTTTTATAAGCTGTATTTAAAGGAATGGTTAAGCAGACATATGTGTAAAGAAGGAGATTCGGTAGTGGTAGTGGTAAAGGCAGTGTATGAAAGTAAAAGTAGTAACTACTAACAAAACCCACCTTCGATGATGTGGTGTACATGGTGAATCTTGAGTACCATTTGCTTGCTTTCTCTGCAACTCCTTTCCCAGCAGTAAACACACTGTGCCTTAGAACATCTAGTTTAGGTACCAGCAGTGTATCTAAATTAAATGAAGGTGATGAATGGGTTAATGTTTCTTGAGATCCTTCCCTAAATGGGCAAGTGGGTGAGAAGGCTGGTGAAGACCACAGTCTATCTCTTGGTCTCTCCTCACTTTTAGTATAACTTTTAGATTTGGTAAGTCTCACAGGTCTAGGAGAATTAGGAGGCAGGCTTGATCTTCTGCAGGCCTTGACCAATGTTGGGCTTTTCTTATTGGTTAATTTATCATCACATGCTCGTTGTAAATCAATGCTTGGTGTACGACTTGTCAAAGGACTGCTCATGTTATTCATATACATCTCAATTTCTTCAGCCAAATCACGTCTAGCAGATGGTGTTGATATGCTTTTGCTGTCATCTTCATCCTCTTCTTCCTCTTTTTGCTGCTGTTCACTCTCAGCAACCAAAAGAGAGAGGGGATCAAATCCTGTTACAACGTCTGTTTTTTCAGAAGGTTTTACTGAAAAGCTGCTATTCATACGGTCAATCCTCTTGGAATTTTGTGTAGCAACACATCCCACTTTTGATCCATCTGTTTCTTTTGATCCATCTATTTCACTGTCTAAATCTTCTAAGTCAAAAATAACAGGAGAATCCACTTTATCTGCTAAGCAGTTAGAACCATCAAAAGGTGTATCATCATCACTAGATTCCTTTTCTAGGCTGTCTCTTTTTGATCTTACAGGTGGCTTTCCAATATCAAGACTATTTGGTCTTGTGCTTTTTGAGATAACATTTGAAAGAATTTTTGCATCAGCTCCTAATTTTTCAACTATATCTCCAGGGTTTGTTTCCTGGTTAATTCTATTCAGCATAAATCCCATCAGTACCCCTCCACTAAGATTACGGTTCCTATTTCCCCAGGCCATTTGCTGTTGCAAATTAGATTCATTGTCACTTTTATGCCTTTTCCTGAAGCATCTGCTTTGCATGTTTCCTGTTTCATTTGTATCCTCAAGAGAGGATATTAAGAGTGGCTCAGGTAAACTTTCTGAAAAACAAGAAATAACCTTTTAGCTATGAAAATGCATTGTACAAATATAAGTCATCTTAAATATTTAAAATTATAGAAATGAAAATGATAATGGCAGACACCATTCTAAGCAGCTTACTTTTATCATTACTGTAAACATTCCAACATTCATAGAGCAGATAAAATGGACATGCAGAGAGATCATTTAGCCAAGGTTACCCAGTTCTTATGTGAGAGAACAGATTCAAATTCAGATCTAACTATGAAGGTATGTTCATAGCCATCAGAATGTACTGCTTTAAAAAAAACCTGATCAATTAAGATGTATATTTAACAGTAATAAATTTATGTTAATTCTGCTAAATGAATGAAGTAACAATAGCTGTACAACTATGGCTGTGCTGAATGAACTTGAGAGTCTGAATCTTCTGTTGATTAAAATGGAAAACAAAGCTGGGTGTGGTGGTGAAAGCCTTTAATCCCTGCACTCAGGAGGCAGAGGCAGGCAGATCTCTGAGTTCAAGACTGGCCTTGCCTACATTAGTAAGTTCCAGACCATCTGGGGCTACCAGAAGACCTTGTCTCAAAAAATACAAAACAAAATAAATCAACAACAAAAAAAATCCTAAAATGGAAAACAAGCTCCCAAACATCAAATCAAATTGAAGGTAGTTCTATTATCTTTACTCATAAGTAAAAACTATTTTAAAATACTCAGATCTTGAGCAATTTTATATTTGCTTTGTTAGTTGCTCTTTTAAAATATAAAATATTTTAGAAAGAAAAAAAATATTGGTCATTGGCTACTTAAACTATCTGAAGGACTGTTTTTTTTTGTTTGTTTGTTTTTTGCTTCTGAAAAAAACAGGAACCACATGTAGACTACAAAACCATATGCTTCATTTAAAAGTTGGCTAGGTTGGGGCTGAAGAGATGGCTCAGCAGTTAAAAGCAATGGCTGCTCTTGCTGTAGACTGATTCCCAACCCAGGTTTGATACCCACCTCCCACATGGCGGTTAACAACTGTCCGTAAATCCACTTCTGGGGATCCAATGCCCTCTTCTAACTTCTGCGGGCATTGCATGACACGGGTGCACTTACACATATGCAAGCAATACACTCATACACATTAAAAAAAATGTCAGCTAGGCATATGGTTTCCTCAGATTCATCACCCTTCCTGCTCCCAGTTTCCTTTGCAAAAAGTCCCAACAGTTCAAATTCAGAATGCAGGTTACAGATGTACCCCTACACTTTGTTATAATAAAAAGTTGAGGGGCTGGAAAGATGGCTCAGTGGTTAACAGCACTGGACCCAGGTTTAGTTCCCAGCACTCACATGATGGCTAACAACCATCCATAACTCCAGTTCCAGGGGGAATTGGAACTCTTCTGACCTCTGCAGGCATCACACTACATGAGTACACTTCCAGACATGCAGGCAAAAGTCATACATATATATATAT